TCTTGCATGTATTTGCATGTCTGCTTCCTTTAGATTTCAGCATATACATTCCCCTCACCTTACCTCTAGGCCTTTTCACTGTATCACCCATATTTTTCTCCATAGCATTCACTCTCCAACATAATCTTACTATGTATTTACTTGTTTAGTGTCTATTTCTCCATCAAGGATGTAAGTTCTATGAGAACAGAGTCTTAGCCTGTCTTGTGTAACTATCATATTAATAAACACTGAACAAGCAAATGACTCATAAACCTACTGGGCATGTCAGAGTACAGAACGGCACACCTGCCTCCAATCTTTCTCATTTCTCCTTGGCCTACTTCCTGAGTATAGGTATCCAAGTCACTACAGTAACCAGAAATAGAGGATATAATTGTCTGATTACCTGCTTGTACTACCATGTTGCTATACTGAAGATGCTGCTACCACCATCTTTCCAGCTGTTGCAGTGTTCTTCCTGTATGGGAGGGATGGATAAAAGAAGAGCAGCAGTGCAGATGCAGCATTACTTGGCAATTGCCACCTCCTAGTCCAGGGTGACAGACTGGACAACCCAGAAAAACAGAAGGTCTAAGGGATAGTACGTACATGTCTGTGAAATAAAAAGACACAAAGAAGAGTAAGTTTGCTGGTGTGGGAGGACCTAAGCAGCAGCTCAAGGACCTCAAAGACTTTATGAAAACTTGGACAGATCCAAGTACTGATACTTACCAAAACAGAATGAATGAGCGAAGAAGCAGAAGACAAGTGTGGTAACAATATACCACAAAGGCATGAACGAAAAGTAAACCATGAAAGAGCACTTTTAATTGTGCAGACTACAGATTGAGTGAGAGTGCTGTAGTAAGGATTTAAACAATATTTAACTGACTTGAAGCTGATTGATTCTGTTAGGCAGGGAGGCGCTGGATGAAACCACCGTACTCAAAGGAGCCAGGTTCTGAAGGAGATTCACACGCGATAGTGCCATGCTTATGAACGTAAGCTGAGATACTTGAATATTGCTGAATTATGATGAAATCATTGAAAATGTCATAGCAGGAATCCTAAAGAGAAGTATTAACAGTTCTGCATTTCTAGTTCGTATGGAAATGCTAATTCCACTTACGAAAGTAAAGTACAGGCATGGCGTTATTATGATTAAGACCTTACAACTGTAGAAATGTAGAGTGGTACATTAATAATATTATAGACATGTTTAGCATAAAATGCAAGCAATGTAACTAAATTAGTTGTACATTCCAGGCTGCATCTGGATTTCCTGTGAGCCTGTTACATTACAAAGCTAAACAGAAGAATAAACCTTTCATGCTTCTTAGGGTGCTCAGACGTTAGCCAGTTTTTGTTTTTCCTGCAGCATTTGTCCCTGGAGAGTGCCAGAATCTTCTAAAGCCTCTTTTAGAAGGCAGTATGTTATTTTAAAGTAGTAGTTAAGATCATCTTACTTGGGTGATGATGGCTGTTTCACATGGCTAACAGCCATACTTGCCTCACAAATAACCCGAAAGTATGTTCATTTTTGCCAGCCCTCTTGGAAGAATGCATATAGTGGTGTACAGAAAAATAGCTTGTATAAATTTCGGTTACTTGTCTATTTGTTTCCTTCTTTACATTTCTTAGGAAAGCAAGCAGAGGAGTTCGTATTGAAATACATTTGGGGAGTGACCATTAGGATGAGATAAGTTAATATGTGTATATTTTTTATACATATATACACTATATATATCTATATGCATACATATATAGATATATATGTATATGTAGACTATTGGATTTATTAGAATTTATTAGATCTCACTGAGAGATCCTGGAGGCAAGAAAAGGAGTCCACAAGGGAACAAAAAGAGGAAAAACTCCAAGAGAACATAAAGTTGAAATCCAAGTCAATGGTACACTCACAAATAGATTTATTACCTTATAAATGATGGGACAAGCCATGTGAGTGGGCTTAGGCTTTCAGTCATTCCTTTATTCTCACAATCATCAATTATAGAGTGCTGCCCTTGTGCCAAGAGTTGGGTTAAGAAGTTGTATTTGAAGTGCCTCCTGGACATAAATTATAAATATTAAAGAATTAACTTACATATTAAACTTCATTTAATGGAAATTCTTCAAAATCCAGTATAAATTATCAGCCTAAATTAGAGAATTTTTAAAAAGTAATCTTCTTGAAAAAAAATAAAATAAAATGTAGTTGTCTTTTTGTGTTTTACTTCCAAGAAACATAGTATTTAGTTTAGCAAAAGTGACCAATAAATGGACTTTAATGAAAATATTTAAAAAAAAAAACCCTTTTAATTACATTACATCATTTCTTTCTATATACATCTGGCACTTACAATGTTGTCTTCTTAGTTAGGTTAGGCACGTCTATTCCATTTCTGATTACAATCCTGATTAACTTAATATATTCTTTTCTCAGAACGATTATAGTGACAAACTCCAGAGTTGATTGATTTGTTATGAATCCCACATTCCTGTTACTTTGGGGTGAATTATTTTCAACCCCAGTATGTTAATCTTTATGGTTAATGTTAATCCTACTGGTAATTTGAGATTACTTGTATAAACATTAGTCAGCAACCCTTATACAGCATCTCCAGCAAATCATATGCTACCATCCCACCATGCTTCCTTCCTGACCTGGAAAAAACCTCTTCATTTCTTCATTCAAAGTGTAGCCCAATGATACAAGAGGATACTGATGTTCTAGTTCCCATGCGGAGAGAGGGGTGTCTGGCCTCATCAATGGAAATAGATTTTCTGGTGGCCCCAGTCCTTCATGTCTTTATTTTCTTCCTCCTGACACTGGAGAAATACTGCTCACGCAAAGAAGAGGTTCTATCTAAGACTATCCTTCATCTCTAAAAGATCAGAAGAAGTCCACTGGGGATTGTTAAGCCCATTTGTGGGGGTGGGTGGTCTTTTCCCTGCAATCTCTGCATAGAGTTATGTAATCCAAGCATCTCCATTTGGCACTTGAAGTTCATTTTTCCATCGGTACTGGGAACCACAGGATTATGGGTTTTGACTTAATCATTTTTGTGACAAAAAAAATCCAAGTTTTAAACAGATGAGTTACAGATTAGGGGTGGAATATCCCTCGTTTATTATCTGGGCACTGCTTATCAGCACCCACACAGTGCAAAACACTTGAAAAACACAAATTTTTCCTTACTTTCCTCACATAATCTGTAAGAGTGCACTTACCTTTTTACATTGAAAAAGTTCAGCGGAGAAATTCTCTGAATTCTGGCAGGACAAGATAGGTGTCAAAACCGTAAATGTCTCTTTAGGGCTTATACTCTGATGGGACTTGTTAAGAATTCCTAAACAGGGGCACCTGGGTGGCTCAGTGGGTTAAAGCCTCTGCCTTCTGCTCAGGTCATGATCCCAGGGAACCTGCTTCCTCCTCTCTCTCTGCCTGCCTCTCTGCCTACTTGTCATCTCCGTCTGTCAAATAAATAAATAAAATCTTTAAAAAGAAAAAAAAAAGAATTCCTAAACATACTCTCTCTCCCACCCTGTGCCCTTGGCTAATCATTTGTGTAACTAAGAGGGGTGGACATAATATGTGTGCATATTTACTTATATATACTTGAAGATTTAGAGGAAGTTGTATAAGACCTGGAAATACTTGTTGCCTCCAAACAGGAAAAAAATGTTGCCCAAAGACAGGAGTAGGAAAGAGATCTACAATTCGCTCTGCACCATTCTGTACCACTTGATTTTTGCATCATGTCCATGCCTTAACTATTCAAATAAACAAAATTTAAAAAGAAAAAAAAAAAAGTCCTTGACTGGTCTACCCCTATCTTTTATCCTCAACATCAGTAGTGAGGGAGATATCTAACAGTGTGGGGCTGTCACATGAGTGACTAGCAGTGTTAGCCCCTTTGGTTCTTATCACTTGGCTTGACTCCTGGAGTAGAATGACAAATGATGGTAACCTGTCTTCCATTCGCACGCAGGAGTGCTGTATGTAGACTAAATGTGGTCCTATAAGTGACAAGCGTTCTGATATACGAATCTCCTCCTTACATATGAATATTTTTTGTGAAAAGCGTGCCAGTAGCAACTTAGGTAGGAACAGCAACATGACATTTAGACAGTAATCCTTAGTACCATTCCTCACATGTGGGACTGAGTGAGGGGTTCCTGGAGAGTGAGGTTGATTTAGGGATTGGGGATCAGCTGCTGAGGCGGGCACTTGGAAAAAACAAACCAGGCATTCACACTCCAGACCACTCAATACCAGCATTGTCTCCAATCCATCTTTCATAAGGGGGCTCCAGGAGGGGGAGGGGTTAAAGGAAGGAGAGAAAAGAAACCTTTTTAATCCTGTAAAAGAAAGTGCAGGAGAGAGGAAAGAATGAACAGGAGGTGAGTGTGAAAAGCCCGTGGCCAGGACTATTTAGTTTCTAAATCAACTTTGCCTTTTAATCTGAGCCTTCCCTGTCAAGTTTCTCCTCCGTTTTACATGCCCTATCCCATCTTTGGGCACTGGTGCCCCTCCACTCCCCGTGCTTTCTTATCCTTCTCTGGTTCATTCCCTTCATCTCAACCAGTTCGCCTTCTCCATGCCTTCTCTCCTTCCTGGCTCCTTTTCCTTTTTTCTCTCCCTTTTGCCCCCCATCCCTTCCCACACTCTTTCTCCCGTGCTTTTCCAGCCTGAGTCCTTCTCCTTCTCCCCTTTCTCTTGCACAGCACATCCAAGCTCCATTCCCTCTTCTTAAGGAAATCAGCCAGGCCTCAGATGGAGCTGTTGTCCTGACAACCTAAAGGCGCATCGGGCTTTCACTGAGGCTGGCTGCTGCTGAAGGGGGCAGTTGTGCAAAGCGAGGGGCTAGGCCGGAGGGAGGGCGGAGGGGATGACGTGGAGGGGCTGTTGAAATCCGCGGGGTGGGGGGGGCGGGGGGGGGGGCGAGCGGGGGGGGGGGGCTGGGGGGGGAAAAAGGGAAGGGGGGGGGGGTAGAGACTCTGGGCTGCTGCCGCTGCTGTGTGGGTTTCTTTACACTCCCTGGCAGGCTGGGTGCCGCCTCCCTCGCCTGCCTGCCCGCCCGCCTGGGAAAGTGGGTTAGGGAGGGAAGGAGCTCAGCTCAGACACTGGCAAAGGAGCATCCAGCCACACGGAGAAGAACACCTTCCTTTTGCAGCTTTCTCTTCATCTTTTCTAGAGGGTTTTATATTTGCACTCTCTCCTTTCAGATTGGGTTCGTTTGACTTTCCCCCCACCCCTGCTTGGGTTTTTATGCGGGCTTTGTTAAGTCTTAGAGGGAAGAGAGACTGAGCCAGGGAAAGAGAGGCAAAGTGGAAAGGAGCACAAACTGGCAAAGCCCGTTCTGCCTTGGCTGTTGATGAAAGCCCTGTGTTTGTAAAGCCCTCTCGGCGTGAGCAGCACGCACACACCCTCCAGAGTACACCGCGGACCTGCACCTCGGCGTGGCCACCATGGTCGGCAGAGTTCAGCCTGATCGGAAACAGTTGCCACTAGTCCTACTGAGATTGCTCTGCCTTCTTCCCACAGGACTGCCTGTTCGCAGCGTGGATTTTAACCGAGGCACGGACAACATCACCGTGAGGCAGGGGGACACAGCCATCCTCAGGTAGGGCTTTGGGGCAACTTTTCTGCTGTGCGCGAGTGTGTGTGTGTGTGTGTGTGTGTGTGTGTGTGTGATCTTCAACTCCAGATTCTGATGCTGCAGGCGTGTGTGTGTGTGTGCGCGCGTTTGTGTGTGTTGTGCATGCACACGCGCCTTTTACTGAGTGGCCCAGGTGTCTGCCAACAAATTTGAAGGGAATTCTGTTTCCCGTCAAGGACCAGCAACGTTGGTTAAATGTTATTTGGTTTCTTAGGACCTTGTTTCTCTTACCAAGAAAGCCCAACTTCACCTATGGTATTAGTGACATTTGGGCAGTATTCTTGCTTTGGTAATTTCCGATGCTTTGCACTCAAGAGTTTTGTTGGGGTTCTTTAATAGGGAAAGAAGAGTTGTTGAATTATGGCTCTCAGAGAGTGGTACACAGTACTGCATTCTCTATGCTGTGTGTGTGTGTGTGTGAGAGAGAGAGAGAGAGAGAGAGAGAGAGAGGGAATATATGCATGTCAAGGCTCTCGCCCTGCCCCAGCAGTAGTTCGGACTGGCGACTTTCTGTAAGGATCATCTAATTGACATCGAGGGCAATAAATCAATCTTAGAACTTTGGTTGGTTACTGAGCCTTTTCTGGAATGTGGATAGACACCAACACATGAAAGTACGGAAGAAAAAGAAAAGGAACTTGCCAAATTGCTGATATTTAAAAATAGGAGTATTAAGCGCAAAGGTTAGGCAAGAATTAACCTGGTGTAAAATGGGTATTTCATATTGATTATTCACCTTAAAGTCCCATCTCTGTGTGGCTCTGCCAAACTCTGAAATAAAATTTGGGATTGAAATCTGGACAGGGAGAGTCCCAGTCCTTGGGAGTTTGACCCCTCTAAGGGACAGTGAACTGCAGAAACTCAGATGGAACCTAGCTGTAATTCCATTTCTAAAAAAAAGCTTCAAGCTTCTTTTCCTGTGTTTCTCTTTTCTCTTCCCTTCCTGCACCCACTGCATATAACCCTAGTCTTTTTTTTCCAGCTTTCTTAAATTTCTATCAGATACCACCAAAAAAAAAAAAAAAAAAAGAATGAAAAAAAATTTTTCCTTGGAGATCCTTTAAAATCTCATTTTGTCCAAATAAAATGACCCAGTGTCAGTCTGTCCATACAGTTAATATTGCTTGTTGCGGCAATAAAAAACAGTAGACTACAGAAAGTAAACCTCTAATCTGTGTGCGAGGAGCTGATAGTGCATAAACCCTGGGGCATCAGGGAGCAGTTCTCTAGCAGAGCTGCCTACAGCAGCAAAGTTTTCTTTCCTTTCCTCAGAAATAAATTTGGTTGGCTGTCACAGTGTCCTGCTTTGGGATCTCTAGCCTTGTTAGAGAGGAATGTGTACGTGTTGTGTGTTGTGTTGTGTGTGTGTTGCTGCAGATTATAAAAACTAAGAAAATCCTAATGTGTAAGTGCTCTTTTCTTCGTTTCCTGAGCATTGAGTGATTATGAATCCCAAAGATCCTACTATCCAAAGCAGATTTTCCCTACCAGCTCTCCAGCCCTGTAAACCTGCATGTGTGATTTATCCACATGGAGTAGTAAGATTTATAGAGTAATTTATCTGTTTGCAAAGGGATTTGGATATAATGCAGAAAATGTTTTTTGCAAACACATAAGCATGCCATCTCAACTGCTAACATTCAGACTCCCTAACATCATTAACCCTTACTAGTGAGGCACTCTATATAAATTTATGCTATCCCCAGGAAGACTTGTTTTTGTGGAATATGAGACAGAATATAGGGAAAGCGAATACCTGGATGTGTAAGTTTTTATTTAAATGTCCATGAACTTTGTAAGTCAGCATCACCTGTATCTTAAGTTGTAGCTGTCAAAGGGTTAGATAAACATCTAAATGTTTATTCAGAGGAAAAAGAATATTCTTATACTTTCATATCGCCTATGCGTAGAAGTCTGTGTCTATGAGAGGTGTCTTATTCCATACATATCTACATATGATATAGATGTGCTTTCAAGTGTCTCTGGCTTAAAAGAAATGGAGTTTTTAAGCATTACACTTTAGTAGACATTACGGTGTGGAAATGGAGGGAGTGAGAAGTGAGAATAAATATAGAAGCAGTTATTCACTGGGAAAGAGAAGCTAGACAAACAGAGCATGCAGAGAAGTCACCTGTGAGAGTCCGTTGCTTTTCCAGACCTCACCTAATGTGCCCTCTTTTAAATTTCCTCTGCCTCGAACAAGGCTTTTATTTCTGGGTTGGTGGAGCTCTATCAGAAGTAACTATGGAGAGAGTTCCTTTTGTTTTCTTCTCTGACCTTCTTCTCAATCTCTTTAACTGAGCCCAGTAAGCTTTGTGGGTCAGTTTCCCAGTGAAGAATGGTTTTCTTGCTTTCTGTTTACAAGTCTAGCCTGGGAAATACTTGCTTCTACTTTATTTGTGACATTTTACTGAGAGCATGAGCTTCCAGGGGAGGAGAGGAAGGAGAACTTGATTCATTGGAAGTCACAGTAGACGTTTGGCACTGAGAAAGTGAAATGGCAAGGAGAAAAAAAAAAAAATTCTCTCAGTGAATCTGTGGCCCTGAATAATCTGAAATGTTAAAAGGAGACAAGGAAGGTTTGTAGTTCTGGTGGTCCAGTGACAGGAGTTTGGCTGACCATCCCCAAAACATTTACCTTTACTGCTTTACTCCCATGAAAAGAAAAGTATATATTTTTTGGAACTGATGCTCAATTTTGTATAATTATGATAGGAGATGAATTCTAGTCTTGGGTCTTACTTTGTGATTTCTATCTTTTTGGGGAAAACAACAACAACAACAAAAGACTATAGAGTGAAGGTAGCAGAACTAAATGGAAAGAAAAATACTCTCATATATCCCAACCTCACCCTGTTGTTTCCCAGCCAAGAATCTAGATATCCAGAGGTTTTTTTTTTAGATCCTTTAAGAGCTAAAGGAAACCACACACCATATTCTATCTCAGGGCACAGAATCAAAGTACCATCCGTAGACCAGTGGCAAGAGTGGCACGTGGGTTTCTTCCTAGATACTGAGCCAGAATGTGTGCATGCAGAGTAAAGTACAAGACCTACCCACAGGACTGGTCTTATGGGAGTGTCTCAGGTGTTTTTCTGAACAGAGCACACCTGCCACACTGCCACCCCAACAAGTGTAGGAATTCATCAATTACTGGACACATTTCTAGCACTGATTTTTCTAACTTTCTACTCTTGCACACAGGCTCACAAAGAGGTTCACCTCCTGGTTATTCTTGGTAGGTTGAAATCATGTGGCTCCCTTGATAAGTCAAAGGAAAAATGGAAATAATGTTCTTATCTAGCCTTTAAAATTTCATTTTTAACAGTCCCACTGACTATATTTTTAATATCAGTAGCATATGTCTAGAAAGATAATTATAAAATAATTGATCCTAACATATCTGCTCAAAAGGTAACTTTGTGAAAATGACATATTTATGCATATTTGTACATGCTGTGTAAGTGCATATATGATAAAATGCAGAGGTTTCATACTATCATGGGTTTAAATATTTTAAATTTGAGGTGTTGGAATTTTATTTATTTCACAGTTCTGACCCTATTTGATGTTTGTAAGATACTATAATACTTTTTATGGCGGTAACATTTTTCCCATTTAAATGTAAATGTACTTAATAGGAGTTAGGTATAAGAAATTAAATCTAAGTTCAACATAGCTAAGTTTTTAATTTTTCAAAATTCTGGGTCTTTATACTCTTGTTTTAACACTAGGGGAAAAAGAGGAAACAACACAAAAGATATGATTATTTGACAGTGCAGTCTGAATTTTGTGCAAATTTCAAGGGAAAAATGGCTTCTCTTCTATAAGGCATCTGGAACGCCTACATTTACAAAGAAAGTGTCAACACTCAAACATATTTCTGACACAATATGTGATTTTTCTACCACTTGTAATTCACTATTTGAAAACAAACTTTGTGGGCATGGGTCTTTGGGGGAAGTTTGTGACAATTATGAAGGTTTCTTTTTCTTGTGGCTAAATCACTAATCAACGTTTAGTGGTTATTACTGATATTTAAAGACACTTCATTTCACATTAAATCCTTTATCAAATATATTTGATACATGCTAGAGTATACCACACTATTCTCTTGTCTAGGAATATAGCATATTAATTACACTTTATAACATTGATGTGCCTGTGAATTCTATCGTTTGTTGTTACTTATGGACAGAGGAACACAGCAGCCAGGTCTCATGGGACAAATGTAATTTGTGATCATTTGTGTTTTTATAAATATGAAACACATAAGTATGTATACACACACCCCACATATGAAGGTGATTTTTCTGTTCTATGTCATCTGACTTTGAATGAATTATTTGTAGAACTGTGGAGTGAACAGCCAAAGGTGACTGACTTATCCACTAAATTAGCTGGTGAGGGTTAAACATTTGTGTTTCTTGAAGTTGGTTCTATATAATAGCACACTCAGGCCAAAAAAAAAAAAAAAAAGGATTAGTGCATATTTTTCTGTGGTCTTTTTTTTTTTTTTTTTTTTTTATTTTTTTTATTATTATTTTTATTTGACAGAGAGAGATCACAAGTAGGCAGAGAGGCAGGCAGAGAGAGTGAGAGGGAAGCAGGCTCCTTGCTGAGCAGAGAGCCCGATACGGGACTCGATCTCAGGACCCTGAGATCATGACCTGAGCCGAAGGCAGCGGCCTAACCCACTGAGCCACCCAGGCGCCCCTTTTTCTGTGGTCTTTGAGAGCTCCAGGTGCAAATGTCTGTAACTCATGTGATGGGAAGTTACCTATCTGTGTGCTGGTACCCCTTGCTGTTATCACTTAGACCTTAAAGAGTCCTTCTCTTCAGGCCATTACTTATGGCTTACCGCCATTTGCCCGGCTTTCAGATGTCTGGCTTGTTAGTTTGTACGACTCAGAAGACCTAGACTCTAATTTTGGATCCATCCTTGTATGCTACATGACTTTGAA